GAGAAGCTGGCCCTGGGTCAGCTCCCGCCGCCCTGTCTGCAGCTGCTCCCTGGACGGCTAAGCCAGCGGCAGGCAGAGCAGTGGCCCCCTGGGCAGGCTGCGGCTGGCTGCTGCTTCCTGCATGGCCGGGGACCTCGCGTCTCCCCCCAACCTGAGCCGTCCCTCCGGGCAGTGAGAGCAGGGCAGAGAAGCTCAGCTCCACTCAGCTCCACACACCAGCCCTGGGGACCTGTTTGCTTCGTTCTGTGACGGGGCCGCGGGGAAGCAGGTGCGGAGTTGGCCAGGGCCGGGAGGGACAAGCAAAGGCTGCGTCTCCCTCCTGGCTCAGGGGCCAAAGAGCCAGGCGTGGGCCCTGGGGGCTCAGCAGCCAGTGGTGGGACAGAGTGCAGGAGAGGAGGTGACGCGGGGGTGCGCCCTCTGACCCTCACCCAGGCGAGGCGGCTTTCATTTTTCCTTCTTAAATTTGTGTGTGTTTGTTTTCACTTATTAGAAACGCAATTGCAGAGAGAGAAACAGCTTCCACTAGCTGGTTCACTCCTCAGATACCCACAGTGGGCCATGCCGAGGCCGGAGAGCCCGGAGCCCAGTCTGGGGCTCCCCATCAGTAGCAGAGACCCCGGAACTTGGGCCCTCGCCTGCTCCTCCTAGGAGCAAATTAGCAGGAAGCTGGTTGGGAAGTGGAGGAAGCTGGACTTGAACGAGGTGGGCACAATGCCCACCCTGGTAAGATGGTTTTAACAGGAGAGGATATTCAGTACACAGTCTCTGCAGTGCAGTCACACGTGAGTCAGCAGAGGCCCTGCACCCGTGGTCACACCTGGGTCAGCACAGGCCCTGCACTTGGTCACGTCTGGGTCAGCACAGGCCCTGCACCCGTGGTTACGTCTGGGTCAGTACAGTCTGCACCCGTGGTCACGTCTGGGTCAGCACAGGCCCTGCACCTGTGGTCACGTCTGGGTCAGCACAGGACCTGCACTTGGTCACACTTGGGTCAGCACAGGCCCTGCACCCGTGGTCACGTCTGGGTCAGCACAGGCCCTGCACCCGTGGTCACGTCTGGGTGAGCACAGGCCCTGCACCCGTGGTCACGTCTGGGTCAGCTCAGGCCCTGCACCTGTGGTCACACCTGGGTCAGCTCAGGCCCTGCTACCGTGGTCACACCTGGGTCAGCACAGGCCCTGCACCTGTGGTCACGTCTGGGTCAGCACAGGCCCTGTACCCCTGGTCACACCTGGGTCAGCACAGGCCCTGCACCCGTGGTCACGTCTGGGTCAGCACAGGCCTTGCACTCATGGTCACACCTGCATCAGCACAGGCCCTGCACCCCTGGTCACACCTGGGTCAGCACAGGCCCTGCACCCGTGGTCACACCTGGGTCAGCACAGGCCCTGCACTTGGTCACGTCTGGGTCAGCACAGGCCCTGCACCCGTGGTCACGTCTGGCTCAGCACAGGCCCTGCACTTGGTCACATCTGTGTCAGCACAGGCCCTGCACCCGTGGTCACGTCTGGGTCAGCACAGGCCCTGCACCTGTGGTTACGTCCGGGTCAGCACAGGCCCTGCACCCGTGGTCACATCTGTGTCAGCACAGGCCCTGCACCCGTGGTCACACCTGGGTCAGCACAGGCCCTGCACCCGTGGTCACACCTGGGTCAGCTCAGGCCCTGCACCCGTGGTCACGTCTGGCTCAGCACAGGCCCTGCACTTGGTCACATCTGTGTCAGCACAGGCCCTGCACCTGAAGCCAGGAGCTTCCTCCAGGTCTCTACGCGGGTGCAGGGCCCCAGGACTTGGGCCATCTTCTACTGCTTCCTCAGGCCATAGCAGAGACCTGGACCGGAAGTGGAGCAGTCGGGAATTGAAACCAGCACGCTTATGGGATGCCGGCACTGCAGGTGTGGCAGCTTTACCCGCTAAGCTGAGTGCCGGCCCCAGCAACAATGTTTTAAAATAAATTAAAAATAACTATTTGTTTGAAAGGCAAGGTGAGTGGGAGATCTATCTGCTGATGGCCCCATATGCTTGCAGCAACTAGGGCTGGGCCAGGCAGGAGCCAGGAGCCCAGAATACATCCAGATCTCCGGTGTGGGCGGCAGGGACCCAAGCACTTGAGCGAGCGTCCGTTACCTCTCAGGTTGCACTAGCGGGGAGCCAGATGGGAAGCAGCGTAGCACACCAATATGGCATGCAGCTGTCCCAAGCAACGGCCTACCCCACAGCACCCCATCACGCACCCCTAATGTCTCTATAAAAGAGGTTCTTCAGTGACCAACACCTGCAACAATGCTCAAGTTCTTTAGGAATCAGGTACACTCAGATGGAGCCTGAAAGCACAGAGCAGTCAGGTAATCACAATGGGAATGACAGCACCATTTGGCAGGGTCACGGCCATGCAAGGGAGCTGGTGCTGTGGGTGTGCAATGCTACAAGCGTTCCAGGAACCCGGCAGTGTCCCCCAGGGTGCAGAGATGCAGCTTCTATGCTGTAGCTCCTCCACTATGTACATACCTGACAGATCTGTGCCGTGTCACCAAAACCTGTGCCAGAGTTTAAATACCAGCACTCAGAGCCCCAACCGGAAAACACTGCCATGTGCCTGATGGTGACTACTTACGCAGTGATTCAACGGTGGCAAAGGTGAGACACAGCAAAGTGCAAGAAGACAAGTTCAAGTCAGCCTTTGGAATCAGAAAGGCCAGGTCGAGTCCCTGCCCTCCGACATCATTTACAGCAAACGTCAGGTGTCGGTTGGCCCGACCGTGTGTCAGCGCTGGTGCCTGAGGCCCTGGGACTCCCCTCAGGTGTGCCTAGCTTTTGCAAGGCTGGTGGCTCCCAGGTATGTCAGGAACGTTTCCTAAGACAGCTCTGCCTGAGGGGACTTGAAGACAAATGTGCCGTCCACAGGCACAGGTGCTGGCCCTGCAGCACTGCTGTCGCCTCGCAGGTTGAAGATGCAAGTTCCAGTGAAAATGTGGGGACATAGAAAAGTTAATACAGAGAAGATGGAGAATGAGAGATCAAAGCAAGTGTCAGGAAGGGGCACCTGCTGCCATGAAGCCCAGCCCTTAGTGTGTCCATTATTTCCAGAAACAGACGGCTTGTTCCTATGAAAATAAGCAACACATTCATTTGGATGTCTTAGGGATACTAGCCATTAATGTGTCCCGTAGTGATACAGATATCAAAACAAACTTTTATGATAAAGCATTTTGACATTGTGGTAGTATTTCTACATTCCATCTAAAATGCTTTTTATTCTTTTTTCTATTTTTAAAGATTTATTATTTTACTTATTTATTTGAAAGCTAGAGTTAGAGGCAGAGAGATAGAGAGGTCTTCCATTTGCTGGTTCACTCCCCAAATGGCCACAATGGCTGGAGCTGGGCTGATCGGATGCTAGGAGCCAGAGTTTCTTCAGGGTCTCCTGCATGGGTGCAGGGGCCCAAGGACTGGGGCCATCCTCCACTGCTTTCCCAGGCCATAGCAGAGACTGGATCAGAAGGAGAGCAGCCGGGACTCAAACACACCCCTGATGCCAGCACTGTAGGTGGCAGCTTTACCCACTATGCCACAGCACCAGCCCCTCTTTTATATATTTAGAAGGCAAAGTGAGAGAGAGACCTTCCATCTGCTGGTTCACCTCCCATTTGCCCACCACAGTCAGGCCAGGCCAGGCTGGACCCAACATCCTAAACCCAGGGCAGCAAATGCAGGAGGAGTGAGGCAGTGTTTTTACACCAGGCATCACATGATCTGCCAGCTCCTCTTAGGAGAAGAACCTCAGGGAACCTCAACCAGCGAGGTGCAGCTCCAGGAGCTGCAACTAGGAGGGGCCCATGTCCGCAGCACATTTGCACGGGTGGAACACTGCTCACAACCTCAGTTATGGGGAAGCAATGACGAGGAATAATGAAACTCATGGTGCAACATATTTATGTTAACTTTAATAAAACTCTACCAGGGAGTTACTTACAGTGACTATAGTTAAATGGAGGAAAAGAGCAAACATAAGTGGGGCAATTAAACTGATACAATGCAGGCCTCAGCTTCACAGCAGGGAGGTCACTGTCCCAGGCACCAGGCTCACAATGAGCTCAGATCTGCCCCTGAGGTCCCAGGCACTTGGTCACGAGGGCATCACGATGGTGTTCATGGCCTTGAGGCTGCTGTGGGCTTCTTGACAGGGGGCTCCAGCTGGCGGGACAGGGCATAGCTAACGGAGAGAGCACAGCCATGAGTCCACCAAGAGCCTCAGCTCAGGCCTCCCTCCCAGGGTCTGTCCAGGAGCTGCAGTCCTGGGGCCAGCAGTGCCCATGGGACAGGGCCTGCTGCCCACCAGGGTCCTGGACGATGCTCCCCACAGCTGCACAGCAGGGAGAGCCCTCCCCACCCCCACACTAGGCTTCACCTGATTCCTGCCCATCACTCACCTCTCCTTCTCAGTGAGAAACTCCACAGACCGGAACCACACGCCAAACTCCTCATCACGCTTAAAATAATACTTGCTCGCTGCCACCTGCAGTAGTTGGATTTCTTGCAGGACTTTCATTTCCTGGGGATGGAGGGACACACAGGACACTGTCAGGGCCTGGGCTGGGAACGCTGTGGGGACCTGGTAGGGGAGGGGCTGTGGGGTTCTGGGTGTTTCCTCTTAAGAGGCCTCCTCCCCTGCAGCCCATGCAGGCCCCACCCTGGCCTCCGATGGGGGTGCAAACAGCCCCTCCCCAGGGGCTTCTCCTTGATTCCAGTCCTCTACCCGCACCCGCCCTAGGGATGGGTCTCCCCTTCATGTGCACCCAGCCCTCCCAATAGAGCAAAGCTGCAGGGGTGATGCATGGGGTCCCGACCGGGGCCACCTGTGACACCCAGTGCCCTCCTGCCCTGAGTGAGGCCACAGCTGCTCACCTTATTCAGTTTCTGCAAGCTGACATCAGCCTGCTGGAAGGCAGACAGAGTCCATCAGAACCGCCCCCAGCTGGGCCCAGCCCTGACCCTCCCCTTCATGAGGCCGTCAAGGGGATGTGGGTGGGAAAGGACAAGGATCTGGGTGAGCTCTGGAGAGGGGACCTGGCAGCTGAGGCTCAGGCACCTGCTGTTCTCCCCTGCCTGGTGACAGGAGGGAAACAGAGGCTGGGATGGGCGAGGGTGCCTGGCCATGTCAGTGCTTCCTGACCTTGCTGGGCCCAATTTCTCTCCTGCCCATGGAGCCTACCCGAGGGGAGGCCAAGGAGGCTCAGCCAAGACCTTGTGTAGCTTTGTCCCTCCAGGAAAGGGAGGGGCACCCGGTTGGAGGCCCCGACACTCCCAGGGCAGAGGCAGTGAAGCCCCAGCCCCAGGGACGGCTGTGAGGTTCAGGAGAGGGGGGGCAGCGCTGAAGGCTAAGAGCGCAGTCCAGACTCTCCCCACCCCGCCCCGCCCCCAAGCTTCAGGGACCCAGCCCACCCTATCTGCCCCAGGATCACTCACATGCACAGAGTCCCCCATCACAGTGTCCAACATCACCAGGTATTTCAGGTAGGTGCCAAGAAAGGGGACGACTCCCTGTGCCACAGGGGGTGGTGATGAGCACCTGCTCTCAGCTGCCCCCCGAGCCCTGGCCCCAGAGACCCCTCCACCCCAGCTCCTAGACCCTGGCTCATGTCTCCCCTGGGAGCCATCCAGGACCTTGGCAGCCTCCTCCATTCTCCATCCTCCCAGCTACTCCCAGGACAGCACCCCTAGGACTCCTGCTGGGATGTCCAAGGGCACACAGGCCGTGTGACCCCCAGCACCACCTCAGCCCCAAGTGCACTGAGAGTCCAGCTGCCCCAGGCCCTGGCTCTGGTCTCTCTGGTGGAGGCCACTGAGGCAGTGTGGGGACTGCAGGGAGGGCTGGAGGTGGAGGCCCTGCTCCTGTGGCTCGGGCCCCGGTGTGACGGAGGAGTCCCCTCACCCGGGCACACGCACCTTCTGTTGTTTCCGCAGCCTCATCTGTGCTCTCTGCGGATTCTTCTCCCGGGCAGCAAGCTTGAAGGCTCCCTTCTGCCAGGATCAAGGTCAGGGTCTTAGGGCCTGTCCTTCTGACCCCTGCCCACACCTGGGCCCTCTGCTGGGGCATGGCATGTCTGACCCCCTCCCCCAAGTGCACTCTATCTGGATGCTGTGGCTCCCACCCTCACTGGGGGCACCTTGAGCAAGGGGTCTCCCTGGGTCTGCTCCTTGACTGGCGAGGGTGTTGGGCACCCCCCCACCACAGCTGTCCTGACTCAGCAACCTACGCCTGCCCTCCTCCTCCTCACTGTCCCCTGGGAGGAAGGCCAGGCCCTGCACCGCGCATCACCCTTCCTGGTGCCTCACCGACCCCCGTGAGCCCTGCACAACAGGCTCGTCAGCCCCATCCTCTACTTGAGAAATCAGAGGCCATGGGCAATGACCAGCCCAGGGCTACACAGGAGAGCCTGCCCTGCCCCCATCTGACCACCACCCCACTGCTTCACCCCAACTCCAGCTGCACCCCTGGCCAGGAGTCCATCAGGGCTCTCTGGGTCCTGGTCCCTGGCCAGGCACTGCCATGGAGAGAGAGGGCCAGGTGGTCTCAGGAGGCCTGGCTGACAGGTGCTGGCCACCCAGCCCCACTGTATGCTCATCCAGCCCCAGCAGGGTTGAGGATGAACCACAGCTTCTGCTGCACATCTCCCCTGCCACTCAGGGAGTGGAACCCAGGGATCTCTAGTGACAGACAGGGCCTGCACAGGCTCTGGGTGGCGACACTTTGCTCCCTCCCTACCCCCCAAGGACTTGCCCCGCCTCCCAGCCTCCCTACCTTGGTGAGTCGATCTCTGCTCAAGCCATTGTCCTTCTCACACAGGCGCTCAAATTTTTTGCAGCTTTTGCTGTGGAGATGGGAAACCAGGAAGAGCTACTCAGTGTGATGGGAGGATGGTGAGTGCAGCTCCCTTCACTCGACAGCAAGGAGTATGTACACGGCCCAGGTGAGTTCCCCACTGAGTTCCCTAAGCCCTGGTGCCCAGGGGACAGGTGGGGAGCTCAAGTGGCTCTCCTGGGCCCCTCCCCTCCACTGAGCAGCACCGTTCTGCCTCAAGTTCACCTGCACAGGGAGCTCCGGTGCTGCCCAGGAGCACTATTAAAGAACTGGTGTCTGACAGCAAAGCAAATATCCTGTGGGAAAAATTAGGCAGAAGGTCTAGGGGTCTCGAAGGTGCCATCCCCATGCCTCCCCTTAGAGTCCACGTCTGGCCCCTCCCAGAGTCATGGGGGTTAGTGCTGAGTCCTAGGGTCCCAGGTACACCCTGGTGCTCCTGTGGGAGAAGGCACCCACCTGGAGACTTCTCCCCACGTCTCTTGCAGGCGACAAATTGGGGAGGTCTGCAGAGCAGTGAGGATGGCATGGGCCGAGGAAACGTTCCTGAGGGTCTGGCACTCCTGGAGAGCAGAGCGGATGAGGGAGAAGTCACCTGATCCCCCTGGGCTGACATCCCCCTGCTGCATCAGATGCCCACGGAGCCACAGGAAGGCACGAGGGCACTGTGGCCACCCTCACAGGGAGAGGATTGGGTTCAACCCACACAGAGGTTCAGGTGGGAGGGGAGCATGCACCCCTGGGGGAAGTGAGTCAGGTCAGGCCCCTCCCTGCCAGGAAGGGCCCAGGGTCTGTGCAGGGTCTTCAGCCACAGGGTGTACTCCCGAGGGCTGATAAAGCAAAGTGGCCATTCCCAGAGTGCAGTGAGCGAGGGCCCTGATTGCCCGCAGCTGACCTTGGCCACCTTGATCCAGTGCTCCACCACACGGGCCCTGTCCGTGGCCTTCATGCTGGGGTCCCCCAAGCATGTGGTTACTACACAATTTGTCACGCAGTTGAACTGCTGGACGGTGGCATGGACAGTGGAGGCCAGGTGTTCCTTGCCTCTCTTGTTGCTCTTGGTCCAGACGGAGCCCAGGCAGTGGAAGGGCACGACCTTCTGGAACAGCTCCTGGGGAGGAGAGTGTCCCATGGGCACAGCCACCCCCACTCAGAGTGCAGGGGTGCTGTGCATGGGCCTCTCAGCGGTGGGAGCAGCAGCCCACTGTGGGTGCCTAGAGCCCCACGGCCCAGAGCCCATTCTTGGAGAGAAGACACAGAGGTGTTTTCTCCCGGGCATCCTGGCCAACTCCCCATCCCTCGGCCCATCGCCATCAGCCCTGTGCTCCTTGTGTCCATCCCAGCGCACCTCCCTCTGGTAGCTACAACAAGGGGCTCTGTTTGCGTGTCTGCTCTGGGACCCCGTCCAACTCTGAAGCCTGATCAGTGCTGAGACAGGTAGGCATTCTGGGCAGACCGGCAGGGATGGGGGCCTGGCTGCACCTCAGTGAGTGCCCTCCACCACCACTGGGCCACACCGTGCCCAGCTTTCTGTCTGTCGCTCTGTGCACCTGGCATGAGTGTGTCCCATCTCTGCTGTGCACAGGGGACAGGTGGGTTAGGACATGAGAAACGAGCCTGGGTCACACTGGGGCTGAGACATGAAGCCTGGGCTGACTCAGAACACTGGACTCTGGCCAGGGCTTCAGTGGGATGGCAGGTGCCACAGGGACGCCGTGGTCCTGGCCCTGCCCAGCAGAGCCGGTTGCTCACCGCATCCAGAAGCGTGAGCTGTTCTGCCATCGTCCTGGGGGAGAAGGCGGTGATGTCAACCATCTCCGCCCCAGGCAGCTCCTCTGCAGTCCCAGCCCAGCCAGAGGAGGCCTGTGGAGCTGGCCCTGGTGCTGATTGTGCACATGGGGGCAGGCCCCGTGGGGAAGCTGGCCCTGGCTCTGGAGCAGGTCCTGGCTGAGCCAGTGGTGCTGCAGCTGGCTCCAGAGCCAGTGTGCAGAAGGGTGCTGGCCCTGCATGCAGAGCAGGAGCTGGAAGAAGAGAAAGGGTCGCCAACGTGAATCACCTTCCAGTGACCTCTGCAAACCCCGAGAGGTCGCACTGCCTGGAAGGGGATTCCAGCCCCAAACACCACCCCTGAGAGACCTGCAGACTGCGCTGCCCCTCACCGTCTGCTTTGGCCTCAGGGTGCTGGGTGTGTCCGGGCAGGGCATACAGAAAGTACACCTGGGTCCCCAGGTCTCCTCCAGGTAGGCTGACAGGCTTGCAGCCCACCTTCATCTTCAGCAGTGGAAGGCTGGTGTTGCCATGGAGCTCTGCCTTGTACAGGTCTCTGCAGCGTCCCAGGAAGGAAGCCATGTTGCTGGGGACACAAGCGAGGGCAGCAGGGTCAGAGGCTGGCCTTGGCCGTCACACTGCACTGCCTGGGGCCCCTCTGTGGTTCTGGGGCCCTGGGCATGCCTCTGCCTGTCCAGAGCATGACCCCACCCCCCAAGCCTTCCTGGGCTGCCCTGGCCGTGGGAGACCTGGTCAACAGGGCTGGTGCACACCCCGTGGTGACAGCCTCCCAGTGACCTTTCCTGAGGGGAGGTTCCCCAGTGCTCAGCACGAGGCTCCAGGCAGACTTAGGAGCAGGTTTCTCAGGATCTCTGTAGGTCTGGGCCTCCTGGGGCAGGGGCGGGGACGGGGTTTGTGGGTGGAGCTGGGAAGCACCTGTCCTGGGCATGGACCCCTGGCTGCTCTGCGCCCCAGCCCCCCTCTCCTTTGCAGGTCTGGGACCCCATTCCTAGCTCTGTTCTCCTTCCCTTTGAGGGGAGTCCTCGGGCCTCGGTGCTCTCAGAGGAGTCACAGGAAGGGGGAGATCCACACCCTGTCTGTCCCTCCCCAGCCACAGCCCTCATTTCGCTCCCACAGTTTGCAGGGACAGAAGGCCTCTGACTGGACCCACAGTCCGTGACGTCCTAGTGGGGCCTGGGCTCTGACATTCTGGCAAGACCATGGGAGGACGATCCTCTCCCCTCTGACCCTGTGGACAGGACCCGGGCAGGCGTTCAGTTGGGGAGTCTAGGTCCTCCCAAGTCTAGAGGCCCCGGGAATGCTGTCTGCTTTGCTCGCTGAGCTGTGACACGTGTCTGTAAAGTGACTGCCCAGTTTTTAACATTCACTTGCTGTGGGGATGAACCACACGGACCCTTGCCAGAGAGCTGAGCGGCCTGGGCCTCACACCCAGTGCCCGGGCCCTGCTCTGTCTGTATCAGGGCCTGGGGCTGGGAGGCCTCCTTTACAGATGGGAAAGCAGGGCTGCTCTCTGTGGGGTCTTCCAAACCTCGAGGGCCGTGGGCTATTGAGTCCCGAGGGTGCAGAGACCAGAAGAAGAGGGATGAGTGCAGCGCCAGCAGCCCTGGCCACAGAGCAGGCACCAGGCCCCTGCCATGTCTGCAGTCACATGGTCCCTGTCAACCCCTGAGGCTCACGCCCACACCACCCCACTTCTCAGAGGAGCACACAGGCACAGAGAGCCACGGCTAGGGGGCGGCAGAGGCCTTGTGTTCCTGGAGGGCACAGAAGCTCACCTATGGAATATCTGGTCCAGGAAATACGGAACAGTGCTGAAGTCGCCATATGAGCACAGCAGAGTGGACAGGTGAGCGATGGTTCTTCCTGGGGAGGCCTGGACCAGGGACTCCTCCAGCTTCACCCCAGTGCCTGGCTGCAGGCTCCGCAGGGGCCAGACCTGTGCCAGGTGCAGTGTGGACACACCTCCAAACTAGAGGGGACCAGCAGGGACAGGAGTCAGAGGTGGCTCCAGGGACCCCCGACCATGGGAGTCTGGGTTGGGAGAAGACCCCCTCACAGAGGGCATCCAGCTGCACCAGGTGACCCCTCACATCCCTGAGGGTTGGGAATGAAAGGCCCAGAGTGACTTTGTTGGCCACACAGAGAGCAGCGTGGGAGAGTGGGGAGGGCAGAGTACCCCCCAGGGAGGCCAACAGCTGGGAGCAGCAGTTCAGAGATGGAAGCTGGTGGTGTCCCGGCCACAGCCCTTCTGCACGGTGATCTGACTGTGGCTGCTCCAGGGGGACACCTCAGCCCCTCTCCCCAGCAAGTGCTGTCTGGGCCTCTGTCTCAGCAGGGCATTAGCTCCTGTGAGAGCGACGGTGACGCTCTGACTCTGCGTCCCTGAGTGTGGTTGCATGTGCCATGTGCTCCTGAGGAGGTGATGGACGTTAGGCCAGGCCATGGTGTGGGCCCCAGGTCTGCCGTGCTGATAAGGAGAGGGGACAAGGACACAGAGAAGCACGGGAGAACACGAGAACACGGGAACGGAGATGGACATGTACAAGCAGGAGACACAGGCACATCTAGCCCCCAGCACTGTGTGCAAACTCCTGTGTGAGAGCCGCCCTCGTGTGGGCCCTGGGCTGTGACTGCCCAGCAGACCAGGCTTCCAGGGGCGCTCTCTGAGGCTGTGACCTGCAGCAGGGCAGCCGGGGACAAGCACTGGAATCCCAGCTGAGCTGCAGGACAAATGTCCTTTCTCATGGAACAGGATGGAGACGGGTGGGGGCTCCAGGGCTGAGACCGAGAGACACACTGCTGATACGTGCATGGAGTAGTCTCTCTCTCTCGAGGGTAAGCCTCACCCCTGTGTGTGGGGTTTGGGTTCTCCGTCGTGGGTTGTGGGGAGGTCTGGAAGCACAGCGGAGCTGACCCCTGCCCGGGATTCCCGGGCTGGGTGGGAAAACAGTGCTGTCCCACACGCGGACGCTCTTGACTTCATATCCAGGGAACCAGTAGTAACCTGTCCCCTGAAAATCCCACCAGGACCCGACATGGGGTTGCCATAACCCAGCTGTCAGTGGGCAGCAGAGGGGTGAGATCTCCTAGGAACGAGACTGGGGTTAGTCACTCGGGTGGGAAACACCAGGACGGGGCCCAGAGGTGCCTATATCCAGGCTCTGGTCCTCGGCCCAGCCTGCTCATCTTGAGTCCCCGCCTGTGTATCTCCCTAGGCCCCTCCCTCAGCCCAGCCCAGCACTGTCCACGGCTGTTGGCCTGACACACCTGTCCATTGCCTGAGAAGATGAGTTCCTCACGGGAATCATTGCTGATCTCCAGCGTGGAGCCCTGCAAACAGAGTGCCCGGAGCCAGGCCAGAAGGTGTCAGTGTCCCACAGGAGACACCCTGTGAGTATTTCCACTCTCCAGGTCACATACGTAGGGACATCTGGGTATACCCCCAGCCAGGAGGACTCCAGGTAACACAGGAGAACTCAGGTGTAACCCTGAGTACACAAAAGGGCCCCCAACACCCACTTTCCCATCTGCCATCCCTGGAATGGGTACGGACGACACCACAGCCATCCTCCAACACCTGAATCCTGGTGCTGTGCAGGAAGGGCACCTCCTCTGTTCCCTTCGTGGGGACGGGAGAACAGCCCACGAGGGTCACCAGAGACTCCGGGCCTGGACGGGACTTCCCGGGGCTGCTAAACCCTGTTACCTGTGGCTGCCTCCTCCCCCGTGGCCACAGGCGTCCATAGTGAGAGCTCAGCCAGCGTGTTACACGCTGGAAGAGACCTTCATTCTGGGCTTTGGCTCTGCGAGAGCCTCGCCTTGAAGGGTAGCAGCAAGGGAACATAGTTCTCCCTGCAACGTTTCCTATCAAGTGAGGTGGCAATGGCTACCACTAGAATGTGGGTGCCTGGTTACCAGAGTTCCATGTTCTGTTGTGGCCCGTCACCAAGGAAGTGAGGTCACTTCCTCCAGGTCCAGTACATGGACCCTTCCAGCAGGAAGAGCTCCCAAGGCCCTCTGGGCTGCTGACTGTTCCTCTCCTGCCCGATGCCATCCCCTTGACTGTGCACAATTCTGCAAACACAGCCCCATCCCTCAGTGCCTGGGAGACCTGGATGGGGTCAGGATCCCAGGTTGAAGGGCACTCAGTTGGAGTCTAAACCTCCTTTTCCTATCATTTCCCAAAGACAGTCCTGCTTCTTAGGAAGGCCCCTAAAATCCAAGCTAAGGTCAGTGAGGAAAGCCAAGGGCAGTGTCAAGACGAGCCCTAAGTTCTTAGGCCATCTTCTGCTGCTTTCCCAGGCGCATTAGCAGGGAGCTGAATCAGAAGAGGCACAGCTGAGTCACACACTGGCACCCCTATGGGATGCTGGCACAGCAGGTGGTGGCTTCACCTGCTAAAGCACAGCACCAGCTCCTGTGTGAGCTTTTATTTAGAATGCTGAGATTGAATGGTGGAACTCGTGGCAAGGTCATGGCATCACCTGGAGTTTGAGTGAGCCATGGAAGCCCCAGCCTGGGCCAGGGTCTTCTCCATTCCACAAGGGTGGCCCTCCATCCTGAGTCGGGTCTGGTCCTGGTTGTTCCCATGCTCAGACGCTGCCCCCCAGTCAAAATCTCTGAGCTGGAACCCGTGTTTGCACTCTGCCCTGCTGTAAGGACAGAGCTGCCTTCCCACGTCTCAGACACCCGCAAGCCTTCAAACACGAGTGTCAGCTTCAGCAGGTTCCTGAGCACCACATGGTTTCTCTCCCAGCCCCATGCTGCAAAGTCTGGCCTGCTTGCCACGGAGCCCCGCTGCTCTCCAGACCCTGACCCCGCCAACGCCAGTGTGTCAGAGCCATCAGAAACCTGTAGCCTGATATCAGGGGTCTTTCCACAATTCTTTCCACAAATCTTGTTTTTCTTTTTTTAAGATTTATGTATTTATTTGAAGGCAGAGTTACAGAGAGGCAGAGGTAGAGACAGAGAGGTCTTCCATCTGCTGGTTCACTCCAAATGCCCGCAACAGCTGGAGCTGCTCCAATCTGACCAGGAGCCAGGAGCTTCTTCCAGGTCTTCCACATGGGTGCAGGGGCCCAAGGACTTGGGCCATCTTCTATTGCCTTCCCAGGCCATAGCATAGAGCTGGAGGGGAAGTAGAGCAGCCGGAACTTGAACCAGTGTCCAAATGGGATCCTGGCACTGCAGTAGTCTTATGTTTCCTTCTCTGTCTCCTAATGAACTGGTCACATTCTATTTTTACTGAAACTTGTGTTTTTTATTTGCTTTACACTTTTTCTTGAAAACAGTTGCAGATAAAGTAATTCATATTTTCCAGATCCTATTTCCCTTTCTCTCTCCTCAGAGATATTCAGTCACATTTTCACATTTATTGCCTTAAAATGTACCTTTAAATATCTCAGAGTTTTATTTTATTTTTTTTAAAGATTGATTTCATTAATTTATGTGAAAAGCAGAGTCACAGAGAGAGACAGAGATTGTTCATCTGCTGGTTCACCCTGTACAATGCGTGCAACACAGGGCTGGGCCAGGCCGAAGCCAGGAGCCAGGAGCTCCATCTGGATCTGCCACGTGGGAGCAGGGGCCCAAGCATTCTGGCCATCTTCTGCTTTCCCAGGCTGTGAGCAGGAGCCAGGAGCCTGTTCTGCATCTGCCACATGGGTGCAGGGGCCCAAGCCCTTGGGCTGTCTTCTGCTGCCTCCCAAGTGCATTAGCAGGGCGCTGGATGGGAAGCAGAGAAGCTAGGACTGGAATCGGTGCTCTGATATGAAATGCTGGTGTCGCATGGCAGCAGCTTAACCCACTGCACCACAATGCTGGCCCTAGAGCATTATTTTAGACTTTGTTTTGTTTTTTGAAAGTTCCTTTTACCAACTTAAATGTAGGACTTTAAAATCAATTACTGGCAGGTTAAGTGTTTGGCTTAGCAGTCACTATACCAGCTGGGAGGCCCAAGTCCCACTTTGCAGGGCCTGGGTTCAAGTCCTGCCTCCACTCTTGATGCCAGCTTCCTGCTGAGGCACACCCTGGGAACAGCAGTGGTAGCAGATGTGGTCAAGTCCCTGCTGCCCATGTGGAAGAGCCAGACGGAGACCCAGGCACCTGGCTTTGTCCCTGGCCCAGCACCAGCTGATGTGGGCATCTGGGGAGTGAGTCAGCAAATGGGACAACTGTCTGTGTCTCAAATACATAAATAAATGGATTAAATCTGTTACTGGTGATTAAACTATTCCATCCACTTATTAATGAAAAACATACTGTCAAGTTTATTCATTCATTCATTTTATTATAATCTGCCTTTCTCCCCTTATTATGTGGAGGGAGAGTTTTTTTTTCTTATTCAGTGATTTTCCTGATTATATATAAACAGTGCCTTCCATAGTTGCTTGGCAAGTATTTGTTGGATGAGTAATATGCTTTCAGTTAGTTCAATCCCCAACCCTTGTCCCAAAACAAGTCATAGAAGCCAGATTCCTCAGGGCAGGTACTGTGGTGTAGTAGGTTAAGCATCTGCCTGAGGCACAGGCATCCCATAGAGGCACTGGTTTGAGTGCTGGCTATTCTACTTTTGATCCTGCTCTCTGCTGATGGCTTGGGAAAGCCATGGAAGATGGCCCGAGTGCTTGGGCACCCATGTGGGAGACCCAGAAGAAGCTCCTGGCTCCTGGCTTAGGGTCAGCTCAGCTCTGGCTTTGTGGCCATTTGGGGAGTAAACCAGTGGATGGAAGACCTCTCTCTCTCTGTCTCTCCCTCTGTCTGGCCTCTCAAGTAAATAAATAAATCTGAGAGAGAGGCAGAGAGAGAGAGAGAAAGAGAGAAAGGAGAGAGAGAAAGATTCCTCTTCCAACCTAGGAAAATGCCTCTCTATCCTCTCCCGGAGAACCTCAAGTGACAAGTGCCATGCCATGTACTGGAGCTGGGTATGGACTCCCAGAGGCTGAGAGGGGCTGAGCAGCAGGGCCAGGCTGGGCCCCCTCCGTTTGTTACCCTTTGAGCCCAGTCTTGCTTTCCAGTTGCTTCTCTACAAGGCTGTGCATTCTTCACTGAGTCTAAGCCTTAAAACACACGGCCCAGTAGGCTAATCCTGCATCCCATATGGGTGCCGGTTCTAATCCCAGCTGCTCCTCTTCTGATCCAGCTCTCTGCTATGGCCTGGTAAAGCAGTGGAAGATGGCTCAAGTCCTTGGGCCCCTGCACCCACGTGGGAGACCCAAAAGAAACTCCTGGTTCCTGGCTTCAGATCGGTGTAGCTTGGCCATTGCAGTCATTTGGGGAGTGAACCATCGGATAGAAGACCTTTCTCTCTGTCTCTCCCTCTCACTGTCTGCACTCTACCTTTCAAATAAATAAAAAAAAATCTAAACAAAACAAAAAAACACGGCTCTCCCTGGGTCTTTGAGCCATCCTTTCTGACCAAAAGTATAAATCATATAAATTTCTTATTAAACAAATTTATCATGTTTTTGTTTTGCTAACCTGTCTTCTGTTGCGCAGATACCGGCCACGACCCTTGTGACGGGTGGGAGAAGTGCCCCATTTTTCACCCCATGGTCTCTTAGGAGGCAGACTTTCTTTTTTTTTTTTTAAGATTTTTTTAAGTTGTTTTTTCTTTTTATTTGACAGGTAGAGTTACAGACAGTGAGAGAGAGAGAGAGAAAGGTCTTACTTTCATTGGTTCACTCCCCAAATGGCCGCTATGGCTGGAGCTATGCCAATTGGAAGCCAGGAGCCAGGTGCTTCTTCCTGGTCTCCCATGTGGGTGCAGGAGCCCAAGCACCTGGGCCATCCTCCATTGCCTTTCTGGGCTACAGCAGAGAGCTGGACTGGAAGAAGAGCAACCGGGACTTGTACCGGGTGCCCATATGGGATGCCGGTGCCACAGGTGGAGTATTAGGCTAGTGCACCATCGCGCCAGCCCCAGGAGGTACACTTTCAACAGAGGCACATCTTTGCCAGGGGACTCGGTTTCAGTTAAAACATGTTCTCCTATGTCCTTCCAACATGCAGCCTTCCCTGCCCATTCACTTCCAAAACCAGGAAAGGTTCCCAATGATGGGAACAGGGAGGTCTGAGGGCAGCCGTTCCAAGCCCCTGCCTTCCTCCTGGGGGAAGAACACAGCCCCAGCCCGCTCCTCTGCCTGGCTCTGTTGGCCAGCCCCCAACTGCAGCATCTAACCCCAGTCCTGGGAAGTGGGTGAGGGGAAATGAATCTTCCTGGGTGCATGGCTGAGAAGGCAAGGACTGCTTCTGGCTCCTTAAGGATGGGGTCTTTTGGAGGGAAATTAAAAACAAAAACGCTCTAATTATTGTACCCCAAGGTTATTTTTCTCTGAAACTCTAATTCTGTGGGACAGCACCTTGAACATGGATCATCACGGGACTTCTATAGCTTTACTCAAACCCTTTCAGTCCTGGTGAATCAGACATGGCATCTTGTAAGTTAGCAGCTTCCCCTGCCATCTGCATCTATTACCGTACCTCACCCAAGAAAATATCACGTGGGAATAATGGCACTCTCATTTCCATTATGAGTTCATGCATTTTCCTGTCCTAGTTCTTACACCCCAGATTTACAAGGTGATAAAAAAAATCTTACAAAGAACGAGAACTTGGAGTTTTAGTAATGCACACTTCACACTGAGTATGTGTCCCTAATGTTATAAACAAAACTCAAAAGAAAACCCACGTCAATGTATGACTATTTTGCTTGGACAAGATAGTTTGCTTATATCAAAAACTCCTGTTCCCCTCCTGCATGAGAAAGGAGAGCTCCTGCACACAGTGTTTCCCTTGATAGGTCTGATTTTGTCTTTCAGGTATTTCCCCTTTGTTTTCTCCCCCCTGGAACAAAGAAGCATCCCTGTCACTCTGTGGT